AAAAAAAAAAAAAAAAGTTTTATTTTTGACCCACATTTTTGAAGGTTCTATTCTATAATTGTAATGGACACTGGTAGCTTAAAAGAAAATGGCACTGTTACGAGGTGTAGCTTTGTTGGGATAGGTATGGTCTTGCTGAAGGAAATGTGTCACTGTGGGGGTGACTCTGAGGTTTCATATATGCTCAAACCACATGCAATATCTCAGTTCATTTCTGTTGCCTTTGGATCAAGATGTAGAATCCTCGGCTCCCCAGCAACATGTCTGCCTGCATGTCACCGTATTCCACGCCATGATGGTAATGGACTAAACCTCTGAAACTGTAAACTACCATCTCAACTAAATGTTTCATTTGTAAGAGTTACCGCAGTCATGATTTTTCTTCACAGCAATAGAAACTCTAACTAAGACAGAAGTGGGGTATTGCTGTGAAAGGCCTTGTTTAGAGACATTTGGACTTTGGGATTTTGGGTTAGGAAAGAATGGGAATGTTTTTACTGTTGCTTAATGGGCCATACCAGTAGGAGCATGGAAGACACTGGTGCTGGGTGACTTGAACTGGAGGTGGGGGCTGGATCAAGAGGTTTCAGTGGTCAAGAACTTGAATATGTTGCCTACAAATTGATCTTGTGATATTTTGGTGAAAAATGCAGCTGTTTTTTGCCCTTGTATAAAAACTTTGCCTGAGGTTAAAGTGAAGAGTTTTAGAGTAATTCCCTTGACAGAAGAAATCTCAAAAAAGCCTAGGATAGACTGTTATATGGTTACTAATGTTGACTCTAATGAAGAGGTATAATAAAAAGGAAAAAGCTGAGCAGGGAAAATACAAAATGTAAATTTTGACTAGAAAAGAGCACCAGGAAGTGGAATAGAGCTAAGTTCTGTATTCAAGGAGATAAACAGATTAAGAAATGGCATACAGGGAGTGGTGACCTCTGAGCAAAATTCTACCCTGCTTAGTTTTCAACTTGTGAAAAGGAATTAAAGAAAAGCTTAGAGCTGGATGTAGTGGTGAATGTCTTTAATCCCAGCGCATGAGAGATAGAGGCTGGCAGATCTCTGAGTTTGAGGCCAGCCTGGTCTACAGATCCAATTTCAGGACAGCCAATCTGTGAAGGAAACCATCAAAAACAGGAAGTTGGTAAAGATGTTATTGAACAAGGGGGCCATGTTCCAGGTCCAGTGAACAGCAGAACTTGGCAGCTTGGGTCATATGGTTCTAGATGAAAGGGGCTATGAAATTTGCCTCCAAGGCTGAAAAAAGTTGCTGAGGCCAGACATGCCAGGGATTGTAGTAATTAGAGCGGCGGGTCTACGTCCCCAGCACCCCGGCTGCCTGGCTAGCTTATGCCCGAAATAACAACACACAAACTGTATTCATTTAATCACTGCTTGGCCCATTTCTATCTAGCCTCTTCTAGGCTAATTCTCACATATTAATTTAGCCCATTTCTAATCATCTGTGTAGCGCCCCTAGGTGTGCTTACCGGGAAGATTCTAGCCTATGTCCATCCTGGGTCGGAGCTTCATCGCGTGCATCTGCCTGGGAGCTGGGAACATGGTGTCTCTCTGAGGCGTTGGCTCCCTAGAGGAGAGCTGTGGAGTCTGAGCTCACTTCCTCTTCCTCCCAGCGTTCTGTTCTGTTTACTCCTCCCACCTATCTTCTAACCAATGAGGGCCAAGCAGTTTCTTTTTATTTAACCAATGACCTTCCTCCATCAAGGGATGTCCTTATGAAAGCCTGGAGAGTCCCCTGAGTGAAGCTGTAAAGGAGAAGCCTGGATTACCTTGGAGTCCCCAACATGTTAGGGACGCCAGAGTCACGGGATACCTGCTGTGGAGAGCTGCTAACAGAGAATGGAACCAGCCCGAGAGAAAGAAGTGTGTTACAGTCAACAAAACTGAAAGGAGTTGGAGATCTGCAAAGCATTTTGACATCAGACATGGAGATGCAGAGTTTGGAGTTTGTCCAGTTCATTTTTGGTCTTTCTTTGACACAGTGTTTCCTTACTATGCTCCCTTCCCTCCATTCTGGAGTGGTAATGTATATTCTGAGCCATTATATGTTGGAAGAATATGATCTACTTTTTGATTTTGATTTTATAGGGGATTGCAGTTAAGAGATAACATGAATCTCAGAACAGACCTTAAACTTTAGACTTTTAAATAAGTTTGAGACAGTTATAGACTATTGGGTCTTTTGAAATTAGACTGAATGCATTTTTACATTATAATATTACTATGGTTACAAACTTTTGGGGACCAGGAAGTAGAATGTGGCAGTTTGAAAAATCATGCCACTCATTATTAGGACGTGTGGCCTTGTTGGAGGAAGTATGTCAGTGCAAAGGCTGGCTTTGTGGTCTCGTATATGTTCAAGATATGCCCATTATCTCAGTTCAATTCCTGTTGCCTTTGGATATAGATGTAGAATTCTCGAGCAACATGTCTGCCTGCACACTGCCATATGCCCAGCCACCATGCTTCCTGCCATGATAGTTGAGTATACCTCTGAACTGTAGGCTGCCACCTCAAGTAAATATTCTTTCTAAGAGTTGCTGTGGTCATGGTGTCTCTTCCCAGCATTGGAAACCCTGACTAGGACAGACACAGAGTCTCAGGCGTCTGCCAGTCTTTAGCTTAGGCTTGTCTCCAACTAGCTCTTATAATTCAAATTTCCTTGTTTCTATTCATCTGTGTTCTGTTATGTGGCTCAGTTGCCTCTGCTCTGTACTGTATGTCTGACTTCAGAGTTTCTCTGCTGTAATCCGAGCCTAGATTCCTCCTCTTCTTTCTCTCTTTGCCTGGAATTCCCGCTTATCTCTCCTGCCTGACTCTTGGCCATTCAGCTTTTTATTAAACCAAACACAGTGACACATCTCCACACAGGGAAACAAATATTCTACAACACATTTCTTTACTTTTTTTATCTTATCTTTATGCTCTATGCTCTGATTATCTTCTATGTCTTACAAATGATTGTTATCAGCAGATAATGACAAATCTAACTACTCTAAACAAGAAGACATGAAGGAAAGATCATCACACCCCAGACCTGAGCTCTGGAATTCACCACTAACACTGTCCCAATCGCTCTAGAACCTCGATCTATGCACACTGTGCCAGGGGCGCCTTCTGTCCCAGCCAAAGGCTCCATCAAACACATGTGCATGCTAGAGAAGCCTGGGGGTGCAGAAATCTACAAAGGCATTTGCTATCTAAATAGAAGAAGAAAAACTCCACTACCCAATGGCATCATAATTCCACAACCCACAGCTTAGAACACTTTGACTCATCATTTTTCCTCCCCAAAATGTGACTTTTGGGCAAGTTATCAATGCTTTTTTGATTTCCTTATATTTTAGTTGGTATTTAAAGCACTTCAATTTTGCCTCTACCCTCAGACACCATCACAATTCCAAATCCATTGGCTGTCGCATCATCTAGCTTGAGCTCTCAAATTTTAAACTACATTTGTGTGTGTGTGTGTGTGTGTGTGTGTGTGTGTACAACACCGTGCATGCAGTCAGAAGAAATTTTACAGGAATCTGTTCTCTGTTGTCTCCTTCCACCATGTGAGTGCTAGGGCTAAAACTGAAGTCTTTAATTAAACATGGCAGCAAGCCCTGACCTGCTGAGCCATGTCGCCGGTCACTTACGCCCTCACTGTCACTGCACACTCTCTGACCTACTTGACACCAGGCCTCTGAAAGGACTCCTTTTTCCTGATTGCTCTCCCTCACCTCGTTTTCTAGATTTTTACCTGTTGAGTTTCTGAACACCTATTTCCATAGCTCTGTCATTTCCTCTTGTTGATAGCTTCATTCATGCCCAGTCTTTCCCCCACTTAAAGAATTCTTACAGCCGGGCGGTGGTGGCGCACGCCTTTAATCCCAGCACTCGGGAGGCAGAGGCAGGCGGATCTCTGTGAGTTCGAGACCAGCCTGGTCTACAAGAGCTAGTTCCAGGACAGGCTCCAAAACCACAGAGAAACCCTGTCTCGAAAAACCAAAAAAAAAAAAAAAAAAAAAAAAAAAAGAATTCTTACAGTTCCTGCAGTGGATTACTCCTTTGTTTAGAAAGGCATAAGGTAAGTTAATGGCCTCTTTGCTGGGCTCCCAAGTCTGGCATTTCCAGTCACCTATTTTGCATTCCTTCTTGGGTGTCAAATACATATTTTGGTCTCTGCATATTCATAGTTTGTTTCCTTAGGAAGCCTCTGTTGCTCCTATAAACTGTTTCATTTATCCGTACTTAAGGCAAGAATCTAAGCCTTACCCTTGCTGATTTATCTTCTCAAGCTCTCATTTGCCCACACACCCTGTATCTTCCTCCTCCAGAATCATTTCTAGCTCTCCATTCCTTGCCACTCAAGCCCACCATCACAACCTTTCGTCTGTGACCACATTTTCCTATGTGCCAACCCGTGCCAAGCCCCCTTCCCGGTGCCCCTACAGTGTTGCTGCCGTCTCCGCCTCGTAGAAACCAAGCTGTTTGCTGTCTCTCCCTCCCTTTTCATTTGTCTGTAGTGAGTAACCGAAATACCAATTCCAAATCCCTTAGAATCTTACTTTTCAAATCCCCTTTGACTTTCAGTCCCTCTAAAGTGGCCCAGCACTTCCCCTTAATGTCATCTTGCCTGCCTTTTCTTACTAACCTCAGCACTGTTTGTCAATAGCTTAGAGGCTGTCCCCCCAAGTAGAGGATTAGCTTAGGACCAAGGGGGAGGCTTGGCTTGAAGGAGGAGGTGGACATTCAACACATATTTGTTAAATCATTGACTAGACAGATACTTGAGTGAATGGCTGATGTCCAGTTCCTCTGAGGTTCCCTAACCTTTTCATGTTCACTGGGGTGATTCATCTTCAGCCATAGCTCCTTACGTTATCCGTCTGTTTTCATTAATAATGATGATGACAGAATGCTTTGGGCGGCTAACAGGGAAAACAAAGCTGATGTTGCTGGTCCAGTCAGAATGTCTCCTGGCTGGTGTGGTCAATTCCTAAACAAATAATATCCGCTCATCAATCATTGTCCTATTTCTGCCAACTAGATTTCCCCAGAGGAGTCATCAATCAGCTTGGTTCCGAAGATTGACAGCCTCACCCCCTTAGTCTCCTCTTCCCTGTACAGACTCATACTAAGAGTTTTTAAAAGCCCCAGGTTGCAACAGGGTTAGCAGACTCAGAGGCAGAGGGACAGCGATTGAGGAGCTCTGGAAAAGGCCAGAACATGAAGGTAAGCCACAGACACCTCCTTTATACCTAGGTTATATTCAACGAGCATTCTAGCGACAGGATATTTGAAGAATATGCCATTAGTGTAACCGTTTGGCTTTGATGAGTAAAATAATGTATTCCCCATTTCTTAATTTGGGTGAAGTTATGAAAATCATATATTCCTAGTTTTTAAAGTTACTCTCTGTGGATTATCTAGAAGGTAGGATCATATACTAGACTGAAGAGCTTGTTATCTGGTTTGAGGAGAAGGCAGAAAATCCGGCACAATTCGAATGGACCTGTTTGGGTGGTGTTTCTTGTAGGGCCCCAGCAGCCTGGTGATGACAGCCTTGGCCCTTCTCCTGGTGCTGTCTGTCCTGGGAAACTCCAGCGGCGCCCCGCAGGTAATCGCATTGCAGGCAGAGAAGACAGCTTTGGCGGGAGCTGTGCGGGCGTCTTGGCTTTTTCTTCCTTTCCATTCCACTACCCTGCCTTAACTGCTTTTCTCTCCCCTCTGGGCTGCAGAGACTCTTTGAGAGAAGGAACTGGACCCCCCAAGCTATGCTCTACCTGAAGGGCGCTCGTGAGTCCCAAACTCTTCATTCTCTTCACCGAGGTGATGGGAGGCACCCGGGGAATCCCGGAAGCCACCGAGCAGGAACCTGGGGAGACAGTGTTACAATTGGCTCCAGTAAATAGTTGGGATCTCAGACAATCCAGAAATGGTAGGCGAGGGCAGGCGGGACCGAGAAAGATTCCGTGATATCCAGAGAGATTCCACTGGAGAGGACCCCGGTGTCGGGGCTCACAACGATAACCCCAGCACTCTCGAAGCTGAGGCAGGAGAACCACGGCGAGTGTGAAGCCAGCTTGGGCTACTAGAAGGTTTCAGGTCAAAGATCCTATTAAGGAAGGTGGAAGGAGGGAAAGGGAGGGAGGGAAGAAAGTGGAGAAGAAGGGTTCAAGAATGGGGGAAGGAAGGCAAAGGGACGGGGAGTAGAAAGGGAAATAAGGGAAGGGGCATTGGTTGGTTAACTGAAAAAACTACTGGTTTTCGTCATTTGTGTGTGTGTGTGTGTGTGTGTGTGTGTGTGTGTGTTTTGGGTTTTTTTGTTTTGTTTTGTTGTTGTTTGTTTTTGTTTTTGCTTTTGTTTTTCCAAACAAGGTATCTGGGGCTGGAAAGCAACCAATGAACTTGACGAAAACAAAAATTAGGAATTGGCGGGGGGGGGGGGGGGGGGGTGGTGGAGGAGGGTGTTGGGGGGAGAGGGATGCTCGAACCCTCCTGGGGCTGCTCTCCCAAGCCTCCATCTGCGGCCTCTCCTGGCCTGGGGTTTGGCGGTCAGATCTCAGCCCGTGTCTCCCCCGCAGAGGGCCGTCGCTTCATCTCCGACCAGGGCCGCAGGAAGGAGCTCGCTGACCGGCCGCCTCCAGGTGGGTGAGCCCTGCGCCCGAGGGGTGGTGGTGGGGCGCCCCACCTGCTCTCCCCTGCCCCGCAAGCAGGCAGCTGGGACTGCTGTGCAGACAGAGGGCGGAGAGATTGTCCTGGTTCAAGAAGTCCACCCGGGTATTTATGGATCTAAGACCCTTGCTCTTTTTTCCCCCCTAAACACCAATTACTATTAAAGAATTACTTAAAAGTTTCAGATATATCTCCTCCTTAAATTACTAGAAACATCTACCAAAAAATTTTAAACCGAACATAATTAGGTAAGTCATTAAAAATAGAACCAGGTATGAAGGACTGAGGGAGTATCAGTTATTTTCTAGGGACAAGTTCAGGTTAAGCTATCCAATCTCGAGTGGTCAGCCGGAAATATTTGTACACTGAGTAAGACTAGATAACTATGTGAGAGAGAGAGGGAGGGAGGGAGGGAGGGAGGGAGGGAGAGAGGGAGAGAGGGTCAGGGACTTTTTTTTCTTGATGAACTTAATGTCTTTGCAGTTTAAAAAGAAGAAAAATTGATTTTAGTAAAATGTTATATACAAATTCGAAGAATAAAAGCTATACTGATTTTGAGAACTCTTCAACACCGCTGAACATAACCCTAGCAGACGCTTCACAAGTCTTTGTTTCATGTTTCTCAAGTCTGCAGTGTGATTAATCTTATTTTGTGAGGATAAATATGCTTCTTCTCTTTCTGTTACTTTCAATTAAACTCAATGTCTGCATCGAATTGGGAGTATGTTATCTGGCAACTTAAATTTGAGATAGAGTTTCACAGCATACACCTATAGTGCGTGTAACCTAAGGAATTTGAAATAGCTCTGAATATTTAGCAAATGTATCTTCAGTCAGCTTATATGTGGCCAAAAAGGCAGATTATTATCTAAAACTGATTTGGAAGAAGTAAAGTAGGAAACTCAGGCTCCAAAGAAATCATACCTGAATCTTTGGCTCAGGCAACTGCTTTAAGCCATGAGCGGGGAAACTTCACCCCCTTCGAAGCCCCGAAGGGGGGAAGTGCAGATGCTCCTACCCTGTCTTCCTTTTTTTGTTGTTGTTTTTTGTTTTGTTTTTGTTTTATGAGACAGGGTTTCTCTGTAGCTTTAGTACCCAAGATTGGAACTAACTCATGTAGACCAGGCTGACCTCAACTCAAACTCACAGAAATCTGCTTTGTCTCTGCCTCCCTAGTGCTGGGATTAACGCATGCGCCACCACCGCCGGCCTCCTGTCTTCCTTCTGTGACACACTCCCTAGCATAAGGTGTACATTCCTCTTCCATCCCTGAATGTAAACACAGCAAAAACAACTGGAAGTCATTTCCAAGAGACATATGATCTCTCAATTTATGAAGATCGTCATGAAGCCAACGAGACTTCCTCATCAGTGCTCATCACCTGCCACCAGCTTTACTACCTAAATCCAGTCCCCCGAGGATGCATATATGGAAGGAGAGAGGAGACCCCTCAGAGTTGTCCTCTGACTTCCACAAGAGTGTGGGCACATGCATGTGCACGCATGCACGCACACACACACACACAGAGGACAGCACTAGATAAAATGCTGTATAAATGACTACTTCATCTTCAAAACTCAATATGCAGTGTAGCCTGCTCACAGATCAAGGGTTGGCCTCACAGAGGCCTTCCTAATTTCACACTGCAGAGCAAGCTTCGTTTACATAAAGGTTCAGTGGACGCAAATATCCGAGTGCTATTTATTTACAATGTTGAATGGGCATGAAATTAAACGATGGTGTGTTTATATGAATATCAAGGCTGCATACATTTCTGTTTCTCCAGAAAGACGAAACCCGGATCTTCAACTGCTTACTCTCCCAGAGGCTGCAGCCCTGTTGCTGGCTTCCTTGCAGAAACCACAAGAAGGTACAGATGTGGTGACCTCTTTCAGTTCTGGACTAAGAAACTTTGCTAACTACCGTGCCTCTGCCTAGACCTGCAGAAATGCATATCCAATCAAACCAATGTGCTTCCCGTTAAAATTAGCCCCAAGAATACAAAAATACAACTTTGACAAGAGTGGGGAGTAGTATATGAATTTCCTGACCTCTTACCTGTTATTAGTGACTTTTATTTATTGGTTTCCTTTCAAATACAGTGTCTTATGTACTCCAGGCTAGCCTCAGATTCCCTATGTAGCAAAAGCTGTCCTTGAACCTCTTATCCTCCTGCCTCCACCCAATAGTTAAAACTGAAGGAGCTCTACTCAGCTTTATTGTTTTATAACTAAGGTCTAAAAATGTGAAATAATCTAAATCCAATTGCTCACTATGCAAAATTAAACCAAATGAAAGTAGTGATCACCAATCCCTTTTCACTTTTGCATACAGCAGTAGATATGGCTCACAACAGACAGGGCCAGCTTTGACTGTAGGCCCGTGTCATCGGCACCTCCCTGTCTAGCTTCTTCTAAGCCAGGAGTGGATGTTATCTTCAACCACCCTGAAGAAGTACTGGTAGAACTGGGCCATCTTGGTAATAATGGATCAGCTAGGTCTTTGGAAGTTCACAGACTGGGTGTACACACTTGTTCTGTCCGCTTGAATGAGCTGTGTGACCCTGACATAGGCATAGTCCCACAACTCTAGGGACCCATTGGAATAAGGTGTGTACTGAATGTGTGTGTATGTAGTATGTGTATGCATGTGTACAGAAGTGTGTACATATATGGGAGGACTAGATGTTGTCATTAGATGTCTTGTCAATCACCCTCCACCTTAGTCTTTAAGACAGGTCTCTCACTGAGTCTGGAACCCACTGATTCAGCTCTCTAGCAGGTCAGTGGGCCTCCAGAGATCTGCCTGTCTCCACACACCACCATTGGGGTTACTGGTATGTGTCATTATGTCTGGCTTTTTCTGTGAGTGCTGAGAATCCAAACTCAGGTCCTTATGAGCACTTTATTGACTGAGCCCATCTCTCCATTCCCAATCCTATTATTAAGAGTAGACATCATTGCCAGGCGATGGTGGCAAACATCTTTAATCCCAGTACTCAGGAGGCAGAGGCAAGTGGACCTCTGTGAGTTTGAGGTCAGCCTGATCACAGAGTGAGTTCCAGAACTGGCTTTATAGCTACTGGAAAACTCTTTTTTTTTTTTTGTTTGTTTGTTTTTGTTTTTTTTTTTTTAAAAAAAAGTAGACATCATCACTGGGCATGGTAAAAGTGGGAAGAGGCTGCATAATATACAGAGGATGCTCTGTCCAGATGACTGGCTTTAACTTCAAGGTGCAGAACAATAACCAAGTCTTGAGGTCCTTAGGAAAAGAACTAAGAAAGGACAGACAGTAGGAGTGAGTGTTGGGAAGATGGACAGAGCCAGCCACCAGGCTATAACAGAGAAAGAAGAGTTCATTTTAAGGAGAGGAGGAATGCCATTCCAGGTTCCCATTTCAAGTGTTTGGAGGAAACATGTAAATGTGTTAATTATTGAAATGGGTTTTTTCACATATTTACTTAGGTATGAGGTACATTCTGACCACATTGTGTACACGATGGTCAGAGGTTAACTTTGGGATCAGTTCTCTCCTCCACCATGTTGGTTCCAGGAACTGAAATCAGGTTGTCTGTCAGGCTTGACATTAAGCGCCCTTATGAGCTATGTCACCTCACAAGCCCTAACGGATTGGCATGCTATGAGGAGCTTGTCTCCAGAGATTAATTAAAGCAAAGCTTTATTAATCTAAAAATGGAGGGGTTTTGGATTCCCATATGATGTGTCAATCACTAATCTGTAATATTTTTATTGCAGAGTCTGTATGTATCATCTGGAAGGCTCTTACATCATAAACTTAAATTCCAGTTGAGTTTGCACTGGGATTTTTTCCTGATCCACCCCTGTCCCTTTGGCGTGTGTGCATCTGTGTATCTGTGTCCATTCATGCATCTGTGTGTCCATGTGTCCACACTTTCCTTCCCTCTAGAGAGAAGCACATTATTTACAATCTATCTTACTGACGGTATAAGTAATTGAGGTAGACCAGGATTCAAATTATATTGTGATTGAGGGAAGGTTGTTTTATCTAGAAGGCAGTCTTGGGGAAAGAAAAATCTAGGGCATGCATTCTGTCTCAGCCACTCCTCTCTACCCTGCTTCAGGGTTCATCCCTTCTACTTTATATTTAGTGTACCATGATCTTGATACTCTCTAATCTTTATGAGACACTTTAGGCCTGATATTTTTGCATTCCCATCCTGCAAACAAGTGCCTTTACCTTTGGTCTCATTGCTTACCCAGAAGAAATCACCTGATGAATGAGTATTTTCAAGTGTGTCCCAATATCATCCTTCCCTTGCAAGAGACATATCACCAAGAAACATAGGTCACACCACCTTGATGCAAGTGAATGGCTATAAAGGCAGGTGTTTAGACTGGAAGCATGCTAATCAGGGCAAGACACACAAACCCTTTACGCTTATGCTAAACTTGCCCCATCGCATTTTCATTTATTGTAGAGATTTGTATCTTGGGGGCTGGGATGTAGCTCAAATGGTAGAGTTTTTGCACAGCATGCATGAGGCCCTGGGGTTCAATCCCCAGTATTGCACAAAAAAGCATGGTGGTATGTGTCTGTGATCTCAGTGCTTGAGAAGTGGGGCAGGAGGATCAGAAGTTCAAGTACAGCCCCAGATGTATAGATATTGGGTATAAACTGTGAGTTACCAGCTGTGTTCTGATGTGAAAGGTGAAATTTTAAAGTCAAACAAATCAAAAGCCAATTTGTAGTAGAATTGTTAATAGCATAGACCATTGAATTGCTTTAACTTTAGGAGTCAACTATCTTTTCCTTGAGCTTCTGTTCTTCTCTCTAAAACCAAGAATGTGAGAGTTCACTTTAAGTTTGTTTTTCTTTCTTACAGATGAAGGAAGAAATTTTGATCAAAGCAGATTCCTGGAAGACAGACTGCTGAACTGGTGAAGATGAACCAGAGCACACTCAAGTGTAGTTCTATTCATGGTGAAAACCGTTGCCACATGATTAGGGCCCGTGCACCCTTCCTTCCACACCTATAACCCTAGACACCAGTACCTCTAGGATTAGTCCTTCAGAAGTAAGACGCATGGGATTCTGAACACTGTCAAGTTCTGTTGCCTTAAGTTGACATCACCTGTCTTGCGTAGGCTTGGGTTTTGTATGGCCTTGAGAATGCTGGGGTGGAGAATGCAGACTTGTTCTTTCTTTCCTCTGTAGTCAGGCACTGCTGGGTCTTCGCAGTTTGTTTCTCATCCCATCACCTTTGTGGGTGTCACTCAGCAACAGTTCTCCCAACCCCCTTTCCCCATCCCCAGTAAGAGAGAAGGTATGGTAGGATTTGTGTGGCTTTTTATAACTCATTGAGGAGAGGTCAGTTAAGGAGGGAGGTGAAGAGAAGATATCTGGGATAATGCTCCCATAAAAACACATATTGTCTATGACTGCTGAGACAGGGGACCCTCCATGATGCAGAAACCCTTGGAAAATCTGTGAAGACCCAGGGCTTGGAGCCTCCTTGTGTTTCAAGGAGATCCACTTAGAAACTTGGACCTTAAAGTCGCTGGAAGATGGTGATGGAGTTTGTGAGAGCATATGCTCCCCAAAGGTACAAAATAGCTTGAGGTATCTTGCTTTCTGTGACTGAAAGAGATGTCATCATGACTTTGCATTAAGGTACTCCATGACACAAGTGTACTCCATCTGCATGATTTATCTGTTTCCAAATCCAAACACACATGCAGGAGCACGCGCGCGCGCGCACACACACACACACACACACACACACACAGTTGGGGATGTGGGGGGTGAGATTCCCCACAGCCAGCAAAATAACTAACTTGGAATTACAGCATGATTACTGTGGTATTTTTTAAACAAATCAGTTCAGAGTCATTAAGCATAAGTGCCCAAGTAACACTTATTGATTCTTATCGTCCCCAGCTTACAGCTATTACTTTGTAGCTATAGAATATTTTTATGTGAATATCTCTGTAATCTGAAATTTTAAGTCAACTGTGTTAAGTAATCAAAACCATGTATATATGTTTTGTCTGCTTCGCAGTTCATAATTAAATAATAAAACTATATTCAAGTTAGTGTACCATTGATTTTTGCCAAAAATGTCCAAGTACTAGAAACTGTGTGGCCTTCTGATAGGCACCTGTCACTAGTCATGACTTGACTTAAAAGTGGATTTACTAGAATGTCCCATATCCAACTTATTAAGTACTGAAGGGATACACCTGGTATGGATTGCTCATTTAAATAGTTTCTTTGTTCTGAGGATGTTCCTAACATCTAGCTCAGGAAGTAGGTCTTCTCACAGTCGGCCAGTACAACCTCAAGTGTTTGTTTCAGAGAAAAGTGGGAGGCAAGAGGACTCATGGGAGAGGCAGAACAGGAGGAGAGGTCACATTTCATAAGAACACATTCCAGTGAAATGGCCCAGTTCCTGAGCCTGCAAAACTGCATTAATTACTCTTAATGACCTAATTGCTTTTTTAAAATTTTGTTTACAAGGGAATTTGACACAGGCTTTGTGCGTGTCACTGAGCTTCACACCCGAGGATTTTAATCTCATCTTAAAAAGCCCCACCCTCCAACATGACCACAATAGCAAACAAATCCCAGCATGAACAGATGAAAAGATTGCTTTCCAGCAAGAAGAGCATGTGTTCTCAATTCTCTTTATTTCCACCTTTGTACAAACTGAAATGAGTAAGGTCACAGATAAAAATTGCTTATATTGTGAGACTTGTGTTGGAAATTGCTGACCTCAGTACTTCTGTAAGGGGCTCTACCTTGCTTGGATCAGTATCTGGTTCACACCCACTCTGTAAAGAACTCTACCTTGGTTGGATCAGTATTCAGTTCACACCCACTTCTGTAAGGGACTCTACCTTGTTTGGATCAGTATCCGGTTCACACCCACTCTGTAAAGAACTCTACCTTGGTTGGATCAGTATTCAGTTCACACCCACTTCTGTAAGGGACTCTACCTTGTTTGGATCAGTATCCGGTTCACACCCACTCTGTAAAGAATTCTACCTTGGTTGGATCAGTATCCAGTTCACACCCACTCTGTAAGGTGCTCTACCTTGGTCAGATCAGTATCCGGTTCACATTCCCTCTGTACTTGCTGAAAAATACATGGGTGTGTATTAGCATCCTTGAGTTTCATTGTTTTACCTTGGCAATGCAATTCCATTCAGTTCAATCTTTATGTGACTAATTCTTTTAGGAAGAGCTCATTTCTCCATTCATTTGATTCTTAAAAACTCTGCAAGAAGATACAACCATGTCATGACTCCTTACTGTGGCTATGCTTCAGCATGATAGAAAGGCAAGGCAACTTTCTGGGCCCTCTCTTCCTTCTCCTCTCCCTTCTTCCTTTCCTTCCTTCTTTCCTTGTTCTCTCTTTCTCCCTTCCTAAATCCTCCCTTTCTTCTTTCTTCTTTGTCTTTTCTCTCTTCTTATTTTGGTATTGGATACTGAGCCAGGAATCCCATGCAACTGAACAAGTAGTCTGCCTCTGAGCTACACCCCCAGCTTGGTGGGGAAGTCCCTTTTCTAAGGTCATTAACTTCATTCTCAAAGACCTTATGACCTAGATATCTTGCAAAGGCCATGATTCCTAATATTATCATAGTGGGGGATTTTTAACAGGATTGAAATTTATATCATTCATTTTCCTTCTTCCCAATGTATATAAAACGGTGAACTTATAACCATCTTCCACAATGGCGTGACTCTGTAGCCGTACTCTCCTTTCTCTATGGGGAAAGAGGTGCTGGATGGCAGCCTCCCCTTGTTTTTCACCATGTGACATGGCGCCCTTTTCACTGCTACTCTCAACAACCCAGGTCTAAGAAGATCAACTCTTGTACAGAGCATTTTCAGGGCATGGCCAACCGATATACCAATCAAAGTGATCACTATGCAGTGGGTGGGACATAGTGAATGGCTGGTCAATTATGAAAAATGAACCAGGAGTAAATCTGGGTTCTGTTGTTAGTGTTTACGTCATTACATTCGAGACACAACTCTGCTTCTGTGCAGCCGTTCAACCACCCCCTTTAGTAATCCCAGATGTTAGAGCGATTGTTCCCATATTGAAGGAGATTTCTCCTTTTTTCAGTAATTCTTTTTTAAAATTCCTTTCAGCTGGGCAGTGCGGGCACACACATTTAATCCCAGCACCTAGGAGGCAGGGGCAGGAGGATCTCTCTGAGTTCAAGGCCAGCCTGGTCAACAGAGGGAGTTCCTGGACAGCCAGGACTACACAGAGAAACCTGCCTGGGGGGGAAAAAAGATTCCTTTCAATATGTTAGGCTCTATTCATGACAAGTGCTTCACACATATTAATTTGTCTGAAACATTTTAAGCAAGATATTATCAAAGAAAATAAAATTTGTAAATAGTGACACATTTATTCATTTGGATTTGGCGATTAATAATTATTTATAAAAGATTGAAATTTCCATTTAAACAACAAAAGTCATGTTACAATAAGGTGACACACGTTGGCGGTAATATCTTATTATCAACGATCTGGACACAAATTCTAGATTTCCGACGTCATGTAGTAAATATCCACTGGAATACATAGAACACAGATTTGGGGTAGTTTGTTTTCTTGTGGATTTTGACAATCATCTGCAGAGCAAGAAAGAACTTCATGGCTTTAAGGCACATGACAAATGAATAACAAAGTCTTATTTAAAATATGTGAGTCATGCAATTATAGTTAAGAATCATTCTTTGCTGGAAGAGGTTTGCTTGGAGTATAGAAGCTTCCATAAATATTAATCAAAGGATGATGATGATTTTTGGACAAAAAAAGCATCTAAAAATTTCTGATCACTTATCACTTGCGTTAACTATTTGTGTGTGTGTGTGTGTGTGTGTGTGTGTGTGTGTGTAGTGTCTTACTTTTTAACCTAGTCTGGCCAATTGTCCTGCCCCAGCCATCTGAGTGCTAAGGTTAACGGTATGAGTCACCATCTCCGACTAATTTAACTATCATTAAAATGTCCCCAGTCCTGCCACTTCAAAAACCTTCCTCATCTTTAAATTTACAAGGACAACAAGACTTGAAGATTAAAATGCTTCATCCCAAATTACGAAACCGTCATTTACTTAATCTCCTCCATTCTTCCATATTCCATTGCGATTTTCAGAAGAAAAAGGGAGTCGCGCATTTTCACTCTCTCGGAGAGCCGTTCGCTGGGGGTCAGTTTTTATATTCCCCATGAAGCTTTTTCTTCCCCTTAGGAACGTGGTTCAGAGAAAACGGTGACTTGATATTTAGCCGATCCCTCTCAGCCTCCTCTTCCTCATCGTATCTTTCGTCCTCGTCTTCATCTTCCACATCACTGCTCTGAGGACTGGAGGTCTGAGATCCCGATGGAGAAGGGGGAACTGAGGAGGGCCTGGGATACTTAAACCCATCCGTCTGCAGAAGACAAATAAGACACACATGTTTAAAAAAAGACTTCTAGTGGGGACAGAGAGATGGCTCAGTTAAGAGCACTGGCAGCTCTTCCAGGGGTCCTGAGTGCAAGCCTCCGTAATGAGATCTGGTGCCCTCTTCTGGCCTACAGGCATACATGCAGGCAGAACACAGCACATAATAAACAACTCTATCATCTCTAGATAGATAGATTAGATAGATAGATAGATAGATAGATAGATAGATAGATAGATAGATAGATAGAAAGAATAAAAGTCTTCTGGGTTTTCTTTTAACGTCAGTTTTGTTTTGTTTGTGTTGTTGGTTTTAAAGTAGTCTCTATACATAGCCCTGACTGTCCTGAAACTCATAATGTAGACGAGGCTGACTTCAAACTCACCTGCCTCTGCCTCCAGAGTACTGGGATTAAAGGTATGTTGCCACCACACCTGGGTGGTTTTCTCTTTTTAAATATAATTGTCTTTTTAAGATTTTAATTACGTGTGTGTTTGTGTGTGTTTGTATACAAGTACGTGCCATATACATACATGATTTATCTTTTCCCCAATCACCTTAGGTTTAAAATCATCCAAACACACATGCAGGCACACACACACACACACACACACACACACACACACACACACCACATTGCTAACAGACACCAGATGTGAACATCAGATTCCCTGGTGCTAAACTAATAGGCCGTTACTCCATAAGGAGTGATGACAACTGAAATCAGATCTTCAGAAAAGCAGCAACTCTTAACAGCTGAGTCACATCTCCAGCCCTGACTTCTTGATTTTCAGTGACACAGACAGTATAGATACTAACTGAATTGTTTTTAGGTAGTCTACTGTGATCCTTCAGGAGCTTAGGAACTTTGACTCTGGTACTATCAGTGTTAAAACAGACTCATTAAACACATGACTATCTTTGACTAAGCACTAAAATATACCAAGTACTATATATACTGTCTATAGTCATTGTACATAATCATTTAATATATATCATTTAATATTTTAACAATATCCACATAAATTCTTCTTGCTTCCTCTCTGAGAAAAAGAGACAGAGAAAAAGCAAATGATGTGAGTAAGCCATGGTAAAATTTAGTGCTGGGTCTGTGACAACCCTAAGTCCTTCTTTAGTTTCAATGGCCATACACATTGCTCTGTCTTCTTACAGATGCTTTCAGAAAGTTCCAGAACATGGACAGCTCAACAGGCCACCAACAGACACCACTATATAGAATCCTGGTGGCTGGGTGACCTCACTGATTCCTGAGATTGTACCAATTGCATCATTTCAGTTGGTGGGAAAGCACCACAAGGCTTTAGTGACACTGCCCAGCTGTGTGGAAACATTAAGAAAGCTCACTTGACAAACACATGCTGAGTGCCAGCTGTGCTGTGCGTCATGGATCACAATGCCACCAAAGGCATAGCTTGGAATACACCGCATCATACCTGCTTCGCAGGAGTGCACGTGCTTGAAAGCCATTGGTCGGCCTCATTTCAATCATTTTGTACATTGTTATTAAGTTATACACATATAGTCCTATCAATCTC